ATAATTTTCACGCATCAGGGCGCCACTATCAATATGTGGGGTATTTAAATCCCCTTTGAATGAGCGCTTGCAGTCGTAGTTCACTTTCACTTTCGATTTCGCAATCACGCGCGCACTGTGTAAAGGGAGCACATCCTATGATAAAAGATATTTGTCAATGAGCTCGGGATCTGTTGAGCAGCAAATCCTCCAACATCTTGTCAGTTATCTCTCCTTACTTTTGACCCGTGATCAGTGAAATCTGACTGCAGCTCGTGTTGGATGCAGGGTGGTTGTTGTTTTTTTCCACGAAATTGGGCTGTTTCCCTCCTCAATAAGTTTTGTCAGTTGTTTTGTTTATTGGTCTACTTCTTGTTTCTTGGGTTGCATTGGTTAGTCACTCGATTAATTCTCTTGTGCTTCGTTCCCCCCTTCTGACTTATGTTGTATTGATAAGGAGTTATCACAAAGTAAGACTGTTTAGTTATGCTATCTTACAATCAATATATAGTAAATGTAAGTTAAAGTGTCGCCGGTGTAACCGGTTAAAACTTGGAGTGGCAATGAGGTCTTAAAATGTATGGAAAGAGTCTTAAAAAAGATGATTCCTGTATATACCCTGTATTATTACTAAATAAAAAAGAGGAACAAAGAATAACAATGGTTGGTCTGTTTATTGTCTTGTTGTAACGGACTTGTTGACATAGACACAAAAATACATTTGGCAGAGAGGTCATGGCATTCTGGGACAGAATTTGAAAGACATTCAAGAAAGAAGAAACAACAAGAAAAAGACTGAAATCAACAGGACTATTTGTTTGGTTCTTTAACGGACTAAGGATAATAAGACACAACATCCAGCCCAACGTTGTACAACAGACAAAATCAGTGAATGAAATATTACAAAAAACACCATAAATAAAACAAACTGCACACATTAATATGGACTTTTTGCATAAAAGAGATTCATTACATCAATTTTGGATATGAAGAGAAGCAAATAAACAGTTAAGAGATCTGGGTCTATGTAAACAGTTTTATGGTTCATGATTTTAGCATCTAGAATGTTCTACAGGAGCCCTTGGCCTGCTACACTCTTGTCAGGTTAGTCCTTCATTTGAGTATAAATCAAAACATCACAGTAGGTTCAGCAACTACAAAATGAAAAAAGGAGAAACACATGTAAAAATAACTACAATAATAAATAAAAAAATATGGCCTCTGAATCGCCAAGGCCAGTTTCAGTTTTCCTCGTTTTTCTTTTCTTCCAATTCCAAAGATGTTACAAATAGAAAGATATTCTTTAAAAACATACAAATACTAAAATAAATAAGTACTCTTCCCTTTCAGTTTGAGTAGAAAAAAACATGCATTGTGTGCACAATAGTGAGGCTAGGGCTAACGGTGCTTTCGTGGCAGACGACGCTCATTTGGTTGGTCAATTCAAACGAGTAACTTCACTGCCCCACATCAATCTCCTTGCATACCAGTCATACAAACACACACACACACACTCAAACACTCTTGCATAGTGATCTTCTAATGCAGGGGTGTCAAACTCAATTCCTGGAGGGCCGGAGCCCTGCAGATTTTTGTTCCAACCCTGCTCCAACACACATACAATGTAGTTTTCAAATAAGCCTGAAAGACTTGGTTAATTGGATCAGGTGTGTTTACTTAGGGTTGAATCTAAACTCTGCAGGGCTCCAGTCCTCAAGGAATTAAGGTTGACACCCCTGTTCTAAAGGTTCCCCTTAGTAAACCCAGCTTACTGGAACCCACTGCGGTTCAGTACAGAGTTGCTCCACAGCCGACTGCAGTTTCTCAAATGCACAGTCTAGGTTGTCATTGACAATAATGAGGTCAAAGTAGTGTCTGTAAGCCCGCAGGATACGAGCACTTTCATCCACAGTCTTCTTCAGGTCCACATCCTGTGAGAAAGAGAAAACAGAATTATTACTTGAATTAAGAGAGAACTTATGATGTTGACAGATTAACCAGATATTCAGTGAAACTGATAATTATTAAGTCCATTTGTAAAACAACCACTACAAATGATCGATTGAATATTTATCACTTTTTAAAATATTTAATTCCTTCCCCCTGCTTTCTGGGGAACAATGATTGCATTCATACAGCTTATTTCACAAACAGAATGAGGGAATTAAGAGTTTAATACCACAAAGAACGTCTGCCAGATCGTTGCTTCAGCAGTGGGCGGGACTAACACACAAGTGGTAATTCCATTGGCTAGTATTCACCGATCACTTTCTGCATTTTGATGTTAGTAAATCAATTGGGTGAACAACAATGTGATTAGCACACAACAGACACTGAGCTGCTGTCAATTAGGTTGATATATATATATATATATATATACACACACACACACACACACACACACACACACAGTGGAGATCAAAATTAGAGAACCTACAATTTCCTCAATTTCAAGGTCACTGTTTAGTCCTATTTAAAGTTATCCTAACAGGAGTAGAAGGGCAGTTTTTTAAGCATATTAATTGTATTCTGAAGCACAGCATAAAAAACCTAAATGAGATATTTGAAAAAACTATGACAAACCCTATTTAACTGGCAGCATTCCTCTAATTTTCACTGCGATTGCAAGATTGCAGGCTGCTCTAAGGTGACTGAAACCTTGTGACAGGAGGTTGTCCAGATGAAGGTCAAAGGGACGATCTTTTCAGTCATTGCATGAGAACTTTGTCGTTCCAAATCTGCAATTTCTCGAATATTGCAGCTTTACAATGACACTAATTCATTCAAGTCCCCCAAAAAGGCTGGTCTTCCACTTAAGACAAATGCATGAGAAGACCGGATTATGCGGAGACTTGGGGAAGGTTGGGGAAGTGGTTCAACACTGCAGCTGGAATTGCTCGCCAGTTCAGTGCTGAATAGGGTAAGGATCTGTCTCAGCACGTTTAAGAGAATTCGGACTGAAAGCGCACTCTACAGTGACCAAGCCTCTCATCAGCAGAAAGAATCAAAAGGCTCGGCTCACTTTTGCTGAGGAGCATGTTGTGTGGACTGCTCCAAAGTTCGCTTAAGTGATGAGAGCAAGATTAATTTATTTGGGTCTGATGGGAAACATTTTGTTTGGCATCAAACTGGTGAAAGACTGAAGCCCAAGTGTATAAAGAAGTCAGTGAAAGGTGGAGGAAGTGTCATGGTTTGGGGGATGTTTTCTGCAGCAGAAGTTGAGCCTATTATACAGCTACATGGCAGGTGAATGCAAATGTTTATCAGAACCTCCTTCAGCAACATGCAGTTCCTTCCCAGCAAGCATCTCCCAATCTGCCTGCAATTTTCATGCAAGACAATGTCCCCGTCACACTGCAAAACAGATCAAGCGCTTCCCTGAAGCTAAGAACATTGAAATAATGAAATGGCCGGCCCAGAGTCCTGATATAAACCCGATTGAAAATCTCTGGAAAATCCTTGGCGACAAAGTTATGGCTAAGAAACCCAATACAGTTACCGAACTATGGAAGACACTGGAAGAAGAGGACCAAGATCACACCAGCACAGTGTGAGAAACTAGTGATGTCCTGCGGCCACAGATGTGCTGAAGCAAGGGCCTCTACACTTCCTACTAATTTCTGACAGCTGTAACCCTCCAAAATTTGAGTTCTTTTAGGACTTCTTTCAAGCTACAGTGGTTACTGTTCTCTAATTTTGATCACTGTGTTTCCCACAAAATAAAGGTTTTTGTTGAAATGCCTTGGTTGTTTAGTCAAACATGTTAGTGGATCAGTGGTATACCTACAGCTAATATTCCTTCATATTTTGAGCGATGAAGATGAACAATATTTCAGAAAAAATCAAGTATTTATAGATTTGTGTCTAATTTTGATCTCCACTGTTATATATACATTTTAAAATGTAATTTACTTCTGTAATGGCAAAGCTTATTTTTCAGCAGCCATTAGTATGCCAAAGTGGTCAAGAAAGATTTCTTAATATTAATGAATATTTTTGAGAAAATTGAGAAATTTTTTTTTTTTCAGGATTCTTTTATGAATAGAAAGTTCGAAGGAAAATCTTTTGTAACATTGTAAATGTTTTTACTGTCACTTTTAATCATTTTAATGCATACTTGCTTTATAAAAGCATTAATTTCTTTCTATACACACACACACACACACACACACACACACACAGTGGAGATCAAAATTAGAGAACCTACAATTTCCTCAATTTCAAGGTCACTGTTTAGTCCTATTTAAAGTTATCCTAACAGGAGTAGAAGGGCAGTTTTTTAAGCATATTAATTGTATTCTGAAGCACAGCATAAAAAACCTAAATGAGATATTTGAAAAAACAACTTTGATCAAAATTAGAGAACACTTACAGATACCTCCAAGTTATTGGTGTTAATCTGGCACCTGGTGCTAATTTCCTTAATTATATGACAAACCCTATTTAACTGGCAGCATTCCTCTAATTTTCACTGCGATTGCAAGATTGCAGGCTGCTCTAAGGTGACTGAAACCTTGTGACAGGAGGTTGTCCAGATGAAGGTCAAAGGGACGATCTTTTCAGTCATTGCATGAGAACTTTGTCGTTCCAAATCTGCAATTTCTCGAATATTGCAGCTTTACAATGACACTAATTCATTCAAGTCCCCCAAAAAGGCTGGTCTTCCACTTAAGACAAATGCATGAGAAGACCGGATTATGCGGAGACTTGGGGAAGGTTGGGGAAGTGGTTCAACACTGCAGCTGGAATTGCTCGCCAGTTCAGTGCTGAATAGGGTAAGGATCTGTCTCAGCACGTTTAAGAGAATTCGGACTGAAAGCGCACTCTACAGTGACCAAGCCTCTCATCAGCAGAAAGAATCAAAAGGCTCGGCTCACTTTTGCTGAGGAGCATGTTGTGTGGACTGCTCCAAAGTTCGCTTAAGTGATGAGAGCAAGATTAATTTATTTGGGTCTGATGGGAAACATTTTGTTTGGCATCAAACTGGTGAAAGACTGAAGCCCAAGTGTATAAAGAAGTCAGTGAAAGGTGGAGGAAGTGTCATGGTTTGGGGGATGTTTTCTGCAGCAGAAGTTGAGCCTATTATACAGCTACATGGCTGTGGAGAGAGGAGAACTGGTCCAAAGTTCACTTTAAGTGATGAGAGCAGGTTTAATTTATTTGGGTCAGATGGGACACATTATGTTATGTACAACTGGTGTCAAACTGGGGAAAGACTGAACCCCGAGTGCGTAAAGAAGTCAGTGAAAGGTGGAGGAGGAAGTGTCATGGTTTGAGGGATGTTTTCTGCAGCAGGAGTTGTGCCTCTTATACAGTGCAGCTACATGGCAGGTGAATGCAAATGTTTATCAGAACCTCCTTCAGCAACATGCAGTTCCTTCCCAGCAAGCATCTCCCAATCTGCCTGCAATTTTCATGCAAGACAATGTCCCCGTCACACTGCAAAACAGATCAAGCGCTTCCCTCCGTCTTCATTTCAGGCTGCAAAGCAACAAAATGTGATTATTTTAAAGGTGGGTGATTCTTTTCTACACCCACTGTATACTGAAATGTGGTGAAAATAAATGTCTAAAGATTACTGAAAAATATCTTCACCTTTTAACAATTTCGTTAAAATATTTATTATATTATAATGTTTTTGAAAGAAGTCTCTTATTCTCACTAAAACTGCATTTATTTGATAAAAAATACCTTTTTTCAGCACTCTTTGATGAATAGAAAGTTCAAAAGAACAGCAATTATTTGAAATATAATTTTTTTGTAACATTATAAAAGTGTTTGTCACTTTTGATCAATGCATCCTTGCTGAATAAGATTTAATTTCTTTAAAAAAAATAATTCAGACACCAAACTTTTGAATGGTAGTGTATATTGCCATATATTCTGTCATTTGAATGAATCTAAATGACATAATATAATATCTGTGAACCTCTCTGACTCTGAGATACCCTCACCTGGGGATTGACATCCAGGATACATGTGCGGCCGGTGTTCACCACCTCATGGATGGAGTCGATTTTAGTACCATACAGGTTGCCATCGTACTCTCCGTGTTCCAGGTACCGGCCCGCCTTAATGTCCATCTCCATCTCTAGACGTGTTACAAATCTATATGACTGACCATCTTGCTCATCACTGCGAGACTGCCGAGACGTGTCTGAGATATTGAGAAAAGAAATGGGTAAACCTATGGGCAATTCATTTATAATTTCGAGGTAAGAGTATTCATTAGGTACTCACGTGGTACAGTGGTACCAAAGCGAGTGGGATGTAGTACAACTAGTCTGTTTTTCAGGCTACGACGCCCCACTCCTTGCGCTCCAATCAGAATGAGGGTTTTCCTCTGAAATGGCGGCATACGTGCTACTTCCTCGTAGATCTGAAGCTCATGCCGATCAAACTCTGCAGCACAATGGATTTATCAATATTAGGATAATGATGCATACATATACTTGAGCAAGAAGAGACGTGTTTTTTACTTATTCTATAAATTATTAAGAATGAAACTTTTTTAATATATACATTATTGGTCAAAAGTTCAAAATAATTTAGATTTTTTTTTTAAGTTTTTGAATTAAGTCTCCTATGCTCACCAAGGCTGCATGTATTTAAGTAAAATACAGTAAAAACAGTAATATTGTAAAATAAAAAAATATTAAAAAAAATATATATTTTTTTAATAATTGATAAAAAGTGACAGTTAAGACATTTATTACAAAAACGTGTATATTTCAAAGAAATTCTGTTCTTTGAACTTTCTATTTACAAAATAATTTTGGGGGGAAAAAATGTATCACAGTTTCCACAAAAATAGTAAGCAGGATATTTCAACATTGATAATAATATGAATAATTATTAATAATTTTTAAAAGTATTTTGTTTTATTTATTTTCGTTAAGGCCCTTTCTGATTACATTTCTATAAAAAATTCATATAACCAAGTATTTTTATCTACTTACCTGCATTTTTGGCAGTAAGGTACATCATTTTTTTCTTCTTTTTACCAGTTATTGTTCCACATAGGATTCCTAAAAAAAGAGAGAAAAAGAGAAGAGGAGTGAAAGAGCTATAATATGTAATGCAATACTACATTTGTCCATGAGATGGCATTATGTTTGTATTTTCTTGGACAAATTTGTGTGTATTCCATACAAATGTGTACAATATATTTCACACAGTCGATACTGCAAAAGCATAATACATTAATATACTATGTCCTTAAAACAGTATCAGAAGTTTCAGAATACTTCTGTCATTTTGTTTAATTTCATGTTTTGGCGACAATAATGTGTTTAGGTGCATCACCTGATCCATCCAGGTCTCTAGGAACAAATGCTTTTCTCTTTTCTTCCAGAAAGTGGCTGGGAATCAGCCCAGTACCTCCTTCTGTTAAATGGCATGCCTGTCAGTCAAAACAATAAGGTCAGTGAAATACAGTAACAGACCAATTCACATGAGCGAGAACAGGTAAGTAAAAAGCACAGTATTCATACCTGCCACCAGTTTGGGTCTTCTCGGTTGACAATCTGCAGGATATCACCCCTTTTGAAAGCAAGCCCCGCCTCTCTGCATGGAATTAGATTGTCATTGGCTGGATTGTAGTCAAAATGTGGCTGTACATAAACCTGAGAGAAATAAAACAGGTGGGATTAATCCAAACACCAAAAAGCACTCAGCATAATTATTATATCCACTAATACATCTCCAGTTATTTATCAATCAGCAAATGACACAATCTCTGTCTCAGGAAAGTTAGAACTCGAGCTGTTGACATTCCAGCGGGATTACAGAGTTATAATTTCATTCTCATTCAAGTGATTTTAGCCAAAATAAAACGGTAAATATTAATTGTAATAAAACTTAATATTCCTTTTCCCCCCTTTTTTCCACACTTGTTAGCTTTAGAACAACAAAATGAGGAACAAAGAATGTGCATTAGATGTGTAATTGATGTTTTCTGTATTTTTCCATTCTTGGATTGTCATAGAAAATTATGGGAAATGAGAATGAGTCATCTCAGCTCAATAAGTACAACATAATTAAATGAAAATGTATGAGTAATACATATTAATTTCAACTAAGGAGTCGAGGTGTTGCCTTGTTATACCACATGGGAGTAAAAAGCAACACTGAATTCTGAAAAAATAACATTTAAATGTTTAATATTTTTTGTGAATTATTGTAGATGTTTTAAATGTGCACAATTGTTTAAAGCATGAAATGGATTAATTTTTTTCCAGCATCCCCACAGCATTGTGGTCCCATTCATATGTGCTCGTCTCATAAATGCAATCTTTTTTTTTAACATGACTTGAAAGAAAAATCAAAAACCTAATCTTACTTTTACGCACATAACCTCGTACTAGATCAAGCATCATGATTTGACAAGTGTAGGCACTAAATTTCCATGGCAGATCTACATGTTCACCACAGATCGAGGAGGAGGGGATGATATAATATTTACATAAACGTATTTAAATAAGAAGCCTTATTTTGAGGCCTAGTGTCACTGAATTTGAGAAACTCAATCACAATAACAAAATGATTTATGTTTTTAGTAGAATCCTTTTGTAAAAGCTTCTTGAGAAGCCATAAATACATTATGTACACAGAGGGAGATGTGAGATACAGAGAAAATACCAGGAGCCATGTAATGAGATTGAATTGAGCATGTGTGTGTGTCTTGCCCCAGATAGCATGTGGAGTGTTATTAATAGGGCTCTCAGGGATCTTTTTTACTACAAAGAATCATGGGATTTCACAAATGGCCAAATGTAACAAATATGTAAAGTATGTAGACAAGGGTGCATTCACAACGATTGCTCTGTTAGTACGGTTCGTTTGAGTAAGTGTGAACGCTGCCATCCGAACCCTGGTGCGCACCAAACAAGCGGACCGAGACCGCTGAAAAGATGGACCTCGGCCCGCTTCCAAACGAACTCTGGTGCGGTTCGAATGATATATGAATGCAACACGGACCAAATACTTCTAAACGAACCAAAAACAGGAAGTAATGACAAGATGCGACGCTATGCGACATGACTTGACGACGCGGTGTAACCAAAACAAAATGAGCAGAGGGCAAACGTGGAGCAACGATGAGGTAAAGTGCCTTTTATGAGCTCCTTGTGAGTTTGCAGGTGGTGAAAATTAAATTATATCTACACGCAAGAATGAGCGCGCATAGTCCAGCAGACGGCATTAGGTGTGCTCGACTTAAAGCGGCGCTGAGCAGACCGATCGGTTACGGTTAATGGATGCTTTGATATCATACACCCGCAGCGCCGCTTTAAGTGTAACGCACCTTTTGTTTGGGGTGTTCGGTGAGTTCCATCACGATATATACGTCATTCAAGCCGACCAATCGGGTTGTAAACGTATCACTATGCCTTTAGGTTCGGTGTCTTTAGGTTCGCTGTCAAAAATGCCAATGTGAACGCTAAGCGGACCAGGACCAAATGTATCATTTTCCTTATTGATCCGGACCAAATGAACCAAATGAACCGAACTACAAGTGTGAACACACCCTAAATGTGTGTTTCGGCATGCACACAAGTTCACATGTGCATTTTAAGTTTTTACTAAACAAATACGGATGGATATGAACTACATGAATGAATATGAATATCATTATGTATATTTAGTGTCTACATTATGCAGTTTTTTTTTACAGTTTGGAGTCAGTAAGATTTTTTAAGAAATTAATAATGTTATTTAGCAAATACACATTAAATTGATCAAAAGTGACAAGAAACTTACAATGTTGAAATACAGTGTTGCAAAAGATTTCTGTTTCAAATAATTTTCTTTTTCTATCTCAAATCAGCATATTGGAATGATTTCTGAAGGATCATGTGACACCAAAGACATTTAAAAATATATTAAAATAGAAATTTTAAATATAATAGTATTTCACAATATTACTGTTTTTACAGCACTTTTAATCAAATAAATGCAGCCTTCTTAAGCATAAGAGACTTCTTTCAAAAACATTTTAAACATTTTACTGACCCCAAACACTCTTGAACAGTAGTGCATATGGATATTATTGTGTGTGTGTGTGTGTGTGTGTGTGTGTGTATACCTGTGGTGGCGCTGGAGCGTCTCTGTAGCTGGGCAGTATTTTCAGTGTTATTCCTCCAATACATTCTTTGAGCATCTCCTGGAGTTCAGTGGGATTATTGCCAACGTCCTTCCCATTCACTTCCTTTATGATGTCACCCACATGCAGCAGCCCCTGCCTGTCAATCAGCCCTCCGTGGAGGATGCGAGCGATTACCAGGTCACCCTTGTCCATTCGGAAGGTCACACCCTGGGCGAAACGATAGCATGAGTAATGAAACGCATACAGGCACTTAGGTTCTGTGTGTGTGGACTGGATATTAACTGAAATTATGACTGGATGAGATTTTAAAAGTAGTGACTGAACATGTGGTCACATATAAATCTATATATTCACAAACACACACCAGAGGTTCTCCTGCTTTCTTGCGGATGCCAATCATCCTGACTGCATCAGCTTGCATAAGAGCGTTGTTTACTGCTGCTTCATTGGTCACTTCAGGAGGGGGTGGGGCTTCATAGCACTTTGATGCCACTATATCATGGGCTTCCAGAAGAGACTGAAGTAAAGAGAGAAAATGAGAACAAAATACTGCAGAAAAATGAGAAAATATACTGTGGAAAATATACGAAAAAACTTGAAGGTACAAGAAAAGAAGGTATGAGATGAGACAAAAACAGAGAAATGAGATGACATAAGATCAGAACAGAAGGTGCCAAAAAATGAGCCAAGATGAGAAGAGAAGTTATGAGATGAGAAAACAACATTAAGATAGATGAAGATAAGGTATGAAATGAGATGAGCTGAGATGAGAAGAGACGGTATGAGATCAGAGAAGGTACAAGGTGAGACAAGAAGAGAACATAAGAGATGAGATGAGATGAGAGGGTATGAGAAGAGAAGGTACGAGATGAGAAGAGAGGTTAAGAGCTTAGTTGAGAAGGTGTGAGATGAAAAGAGAACAGAAGGTACAGGATGAAATGAGACAAGAAGAGGAGGTGTGAGATGAGAAGAGAACAGAAGGTATGAGATTAGATGAGAGGAAAAGATGAGAAAAGAAGGTGTGAGCTGAAACAAGAAGAGAAAGTACAAGATGAGATGAGTAAAGAAGAAAAGGTGAGAAATTAGAAAAGATGAGACGAGATGAGAAGAGAAGGTATGAGATAAGATGAAACAAAAGAAGGTACAAGGTGAGACAAGAGAAGGTAAGAGATTAGATTAGAAGGAATGAGATGAAGATAAAATAAAAGATGAAATGAGACGGGAAGAGAATGTGCAAGATGAGAAGAGAAGGTACAAGACTAGATGAAAGGAAAAGGTACAAGGTAAGATGAGAAGAGAAGGCATGAGATGAAACAAGAAGTTGGTATGAGATGAGATGAGACAAGAAGGCAAGGTATGAGATTTAATGAAATAAGAGAAGGTACGAGATGAGATGAGATTATAAGGTATGAGAAGAAATGAAATGAGAAGGTACAAGAGGAGAAGATACAAAAAGAGATGAGACAGGAAGGTACAAGAAAACACTGTACCTGAAAATGGGGCTCCTGCAGGATTTTGGAGAGCTCTGCAGTGCTGTCATCTTGTACAGTCAGTCCGCTGATGTCACCCAGAATCTCAGTCACAAGTTCCACGTTATTCTCCTGCACTGCCTCCAACTTCACATTGTCCAAACGCTCATGAGCCTGATCACAAACATCTCATCATTTCATCAATCCATGAACTGATATTTCTGACTGTGTCTAGCTGCTCCTCTGTGAATTTAATACAAATCGGCATGTTTAATATCCAATAATTATTCATTTCGTTCAGTCTTAATCAATCACAAATTAAATTTGCTTATAGATGAATGGAAAATGGCAAATGTATTTATATAGCACCATTAATTACAACCCATGGTTGTCCAATGTGCTTTACAACAAAATAAATAATGAAAACACAAAAACACATTTACTTAAAAATACACAAAGTATAATAAAAAACAATCAAATGTAAGGCAGTAAAGTGTTAATACAAATTATAAGCCTTGTCAAACAAATACGTTTTAAAGCTAGATTTAAAAGCAGATACAGAGAGTGCAAGTCTGATTGTGATAGGTAATTCATTCCAGAGTCTGGGGGCAACTACAGAGAATGCAGTCACCTCTACACATATACTTCGACCTAGGGATAACCAACAGTCTCTGTTTGGAAGACCGAAATGATCTGGTGGGAAAATGTTCAATCAACAGGTCAGAAAGGTAAGATGGGGCCATACCATTCAGAGATTTGTACACTATGAGTAAAATTTTAAAATCAATTCTGTGGCGCACTGATAACCAGTGCAGAGAGCGTAAAATTGGAGTGAAGTTGTCCCGTTTTCGAGTACCCGTAAGCAGTCTGGCTGCTGCATTTTGAACTAACTGTAATCGGGACAGAGCTGATTGGCTAATCCCAACATATAGAGAATTACAGTAATCCAGCCTGGAGGATATAAAGGCATGGATTACTTTTTCAAAATTTTTGAAGGAGAGAAAAGACTTTACTTTTGATAGCATTCGCAATTCCCAAGTTTATCTGCTTATCAAATTTCAGAGACTCATCAAAGACAACACCCAGGTTTTTCACCGATGTCTTCACATAAGAAGACAGGTCCAAACCGTCTGAATTATGTTTTAAGGGCAGATAAACTTGGGTGTCATCAGCATAACAATGGAATGACAGACCATACTTCCTGAAGATAGAACCAAGTGGGAGCATGCATATTGAAAAAATAATGGGAGCCAAAATGGATCCCTGAGGAACCCCACATGATAAAGAAGCAGCACTAGAAAAATGATCTCCAATATTAACTGAAAAACTTCGATTAGAAAAATAAGATTTAAACCAATTTAAGGCACTACCCTTAATGCCTGCATGAACCCCATAAGCAATGCAAATCAGCTAGAGTAAAGTCTAGGCAGCTGGGTGCACTATACCTTGGCCAGCGAGCGGACGATAGGACTCTCCATGATGCCTTTGAGGAAGATGAGGTCAATGTCTTTAGCCCCGGTGGTGGTGGGCAACTCACCCAGGTTATCCAACACCTGCTGCATAGCTGCACGCATACAGAGAGAGCTGTTACGACATGAGACACACCTGCAACACGCTGAGTATTACACACCAGGGTCAGAGGACAGGGCAAAAGATTCACCTGCAGGATTAAACAAACTTCACATCACAATAACAGATGGCTGAAATATAACACCCCCTTCCATGGTACTATCATCTGCTTATTGTACCTGTTTAGCTATTCTTTTGTCTTCAGTGTTCATTTGATCCACTGAGGTCATTTCCTGAGTGTAAACTAGTATAGTGTGTGAAACACATGTAGTATTTAGTTGTATGTGTGTAAATAGAAAGAGATGCCAAGCATATTGACTAACGTTATATATTGTTATAATCGACAAGGCTATAAAAGTCATAATAAATAAAAAATAAAAAAATATATACACCACCGATCAAAAGACAGGGGCTGTTAAGATTTTGATACAGTAAAACAGTAATATTGTGAAATATTATTACAATGTAAAATAACTATTTTCTATTTTAATATGTCATATATTCCTGTGATGCAAATCTGAATTTTCAGCAGCCATTACTCCAGTCTTCAGTGTCACATGATCTGTCAAACATTACACTAATATGCTGATTTGCTGCGCAAGAATAATTTCTTATTATTATCAATGCTGAAAACAGTTTTTCTGCTTAATATTTTTGTGATACACTACCATTCAAAAGTTTGGGGCAAGTAGGTAATTTTGAATCACTGTGTCTATTGCCTCTTAGAGCATAAGAGACTTCTTTCAAAAACATAAAAAAAACTTAATTATTACAAACTTTTGACCAGTAGTGTATATTTTTAATTCCATGGCTTATAACAAGATAAATAAAAAATATATTTTCATTCATTCATAAATAAATAAATGTAAAAATGTTTTTGAAACATATTTATTTATTTATTAGTTGTTGTTTTTTTACTTTGTGTCATTCATACTGATGATAAGACCACTCTCTGACACGGTCATTGACAAATCTTGCTCCACATCTACACACAAAACCATTTTGCGAGGCCAAGTGCTCAGTGAGTCACGTGACTACACAGGTCATAGCCTGCAGTAGTGTAATCCATCTGTGACAGTAGAACAGAACAGAGCGCGTATGTGTGTGCTTACACATTTACTCTCCATCAGGAAACAGTAGGCGAGACCAGCAGATCAATATTTAACATCAGTTCAGTGGTTCAATTCCACTCACTTAATTCAGGTCAGACATTGTTGTAGTCCAGAAACAACCATCAGCAAGCTCTGACATTATGCCCCTTTTTATTTTCTATTGCAAATATGTCACAGAGAAATGCACCCCGGGGGCCTCCCTTATTTGGCTGATCAGAGTACATTATGGATGAACTGACAGAGTAATAAACAGTTGAGGAGGAAATAAAGCACAAATGAAGTTACACACACACTCAAAAATGAGAGAAAACTAAAACTAACTGTGGCACATAAAGGATAAAAAGAAAAAAAAAACTGTCAAATTCTGGATCTGTAAATGTGAAGCTATTTCAAGATATATTTGTATACTTCTTAAAATTTCAGCTAACTAATTTGAGGTAGCAGGTAGTTACCCTCAGATGGTCTTCTATTTTTATTTTACTGTTGAAGTAGTAAAATCTGATCTAAGAGCACTATTAGAAATGTTTCTGTGTTGATTTAATGCATGTAACTTCTACATTGCATTTTTCTCTCATTCTCTATCTCCTGTTCTGCAAGAAATCCTCTCTCACCCCCAGAATCAGCAAGAATTTCCATTAATACATTATATAAATACAGAAATGGAACAAAAATAAAACATATGCAACTCATCTGTCAAACCAATGCCACAAGCTATGCTCTGTACTCTGATCGGCACACTTTGACACAACCTGGCAACCTACTTTTGGTTTGGTCAGAATATTTCACGCTCCTCATCTAAGAGCCATAAAATGCCATTCATATTTGAACATATAATTACAGAGGATATGAAAAAACAAGAAGATCTCTAACCTCCAGAAGTGTCTGCGCTCTCAACAAGTTCAGACATCCCCTCCCCAGTTTCTCCAATGCCCCCGGCATCCGAGTTAGAACCTGCTCCGTTTGAGAACACTTCGCCCACAGTGAGAATCATTCCTGCTGTAAAATCTGACCTCTGCTCTTCTGAACCACAAGAAAAATGCTGACTTGCCAATGAAAACAAAGAGACTGATCAAATAAAAACCTAGACAGAAACTACTCTCTACTCTGACTCTATAAAAAAGCTGACAGGAGGCAGAAGAGTGAAAAAAGCAAGACAGAAAAAGAGGCCGAGAGACATCCAAGCAAAGAAAGGAGAGAAAGTATTCCAGACGCCTACCGAACACAGATGTGGAGACATACACATACACAGATCCTCTTACTAACGCTTCACTTAAAAACACACATACAGCCCTCCCTCTAAACATCTAATCCCACAATCCCCTCTTGCTGTTTCAGACTACACCCCCTCACGTCAGAGACAGCCCATCGCCCAGTTAAGCCCCCCAGTGCATCTTACATAAGTTTCCTTATATAAGCTCTCAAACCGGGGGACTGAAGGGCCAACTTGAGAGTCACCCACCCTCATTCAACATGTCCCCCACTGATTTTTCTGCAAATCTCACGCTCTTTGTCCCAATCCTGGTCATAAGGATGTCACAGTGAAAACTTCTGCTTTTCTTAATGAACAGCAACACACTGCACTCAACACTTCAACAGAAGACCAAATGGTCTGTATATGAAGAATGTTCATATTAACGGTCGCGTTTTGAGCAGGCCACAGTTTTTCGGCAAACAGTCAAAAGCATAAAGCTTTGAATGCATGTATCGATTGTATAATGTTTAATGCTTGGATTGAATCAGCTGGTAGGCTGCAGTGTTTTAGTGCTGGTAATGTTAGCTGGGGTCAAATGCATTAGCTTGTATTAACATTAGGATGTATTAACAGCAGCTCACGTAGTTTTACTCTGAAAGCGATGACACATTATAATCTTTAGTTTATTTAGTCTCATTTCATAACCATCATACTGAACCAAGAATTCCAACCAACCTGGTTATTTAAGCAATAACCACCTCATTTTGAATTCATACAATTTCAAACATACAGTGGGTATAGAAAAGAATCACACCCCTTTAAAATAATCACATTTTGTTGCTTTGCAGCCTGAAATGAAGATGGACACAGTTTTTGTTTTATCCAACTGTATTTACTCATTGCAACTTAAAACATCCAAGTGAAAGATATAACAACACGTCAGAAAAAAACAAAACAATCAATGAGTTGGGAAAAAGGATCACTCCCTTGTGTCAGTATTTTGTTGAACCAACATTTGCTTTAATTACTTTAATTAAAGTCTCAAATCCAAAGTTTTTATAAAAGTTAAGAGTCAACCACGCCTACCTAAAACGGCTCGTTCTAACACGCCCCCACATACCTACTTCACTATGTGGGAATATTAGCATAATGCCGCCCAAATGTGCAAGCAAATAAAGAAGGCGTGGTTTCAGGAACAGCAGCAGTGTTGATGCAGCCATGTCAGTGAGACGCTGTGTATTTGAGTGCGAAAGCAAAAGCACTTTATTTGGCCTTCCGGAAGTAGATGAAATTAGGAATCATTGGTTAAGATTTATTTACAACAGAACAGCACAACCCAGATGTTCGAATTTGTGCAACGCATTTTATGGACGACAGTTTTTTGAACCTATGTCAACATATTCTGTTACACCAAATACACAAAATAATGATCTTTAAAATAGCATCATATGACCCCTTTAAGTCTGGGCTCTGACTAGACCATGCAAAGACATTCACCTTTTTCTCCTTCCTCCACTGTGTGCTCCGTTTTGCTGTGTGCTTTGGTTTATCCCCTATAACAGCATATTACCCCCTCCATGCTTTACTGTAGGAGTGCTGTTATTTGGATGGTGAGCTGTATTGGATTTCCATATGAACATATCGTTTGGTGTTGAGGCCAAATAATTAAATTTTTGTTTCATCTGCCTCAGAATCTTCAAGATGTGTTTGAGGAGTGGCTTTTTTCTTGCAACCCTCCCATACAAGCCACATTTGTGTATTTGTGATATTGTTGTCACATGCACACAATGACCACTCTTTGTCATAAATTCCTGCAACTGCTTCAGAGTTGCTGTAGCCTCTTGTTCGCCTCTCTGACCAGTTTCCTCCTGGAAAC